CCAGAAAGAGAAACAGAGAGACAGAAAGCGAGAAATCATCCCCCCAGGGGAGATGGCCACAATCCCTTGTCCTCCATTCTCCTCTCAGGATCTTGGGCACGCACGCACACGTGCCTGGCGTGAGTTTAAGCCACTGGGTCTGGGACTTGAACTATAGTCGCCCACATGGGATTCCAGCAACATAGCCATTACGCTATCTGCTGGTCCTGCATTTTTCTTAATTATATTTATTATTCCTTTGTTGACTTTCCATATTTTCCTCCATTCTTATAGTATCAGCTCTTCACCTATCCTTTTTTTTTTTAAAAGAAGTTTTTGTTATAGGGTGCGTGCACTCGCCATACAGAGAGAGACAGAGAGATAAAAAGCGAGAGAAAGCACCCCCCAGAGGGGATGGCCACGCCGCAATCCCTTCTCCTCCATTCTCCTCTCAGGATCGTGGGCACACATGCACACGTGTCCGGCATGAGTTTTAAGCCATCAGGTCTGGGACGCAAACCGCAGTCAACTACATGGGAGTCCAGCCACATAGCCATTACGCTAACTGCTGGTCCCTTCACCTATCCTTTTATATATATTTTTAAGTTTACTTATTTGTTCATTTCATAGATGAGAGAAAGAGTGAAAAGGAGAGAGGAAACCCCCAAAAGAGTCTCAATACTATAATCCACCTCCAGCTTTCAGTTAGCCTTGGATCATGGGCAAGTGCATTCCCTGTGTCCTCAGGGAGATCTTAGCCATGAACCAGGAACCTTCCCAACTGGGATTGGTTCACAGAGTATCACATTTCAGTACTGTGTCACAACATACTCCCCACTTACCTGTTTTTTAAAACCATATAGTTCAGAGAACCAGCAGTTAGCGTAATGGCTATGTCGCTGGACTCCCACGTAGTCGACCGCGGTTCATGTCCCGGACTTGGTGGCTTAAAAAACTCACGCCGGGCGCGTGTGCGTGCGTGCCCAAGATCCTGAGAGGAGAATGGAGGAGAAGGGATTGCGGCGTGACCATCCCCCCTGGGGGGTGATTTCTCGCTTTCTGTCTCTATGTCTCTCTCTGTCTGTCTGGCGAGCGCACGCGCCCTACAGTGAAAATCTCTCAAAAAAAAAAAAAAAAAAACCATATAGTTCAGTGACCACTTGGTTCTTGAAATCCCCTCACTTAAAACCAGACTCTCTTCCATCTAGATATCTTTAATCTCTATTTTTGCTGGCTCTTTTTTCTTTTTCATGAAAATGAAAAGAAAAATATTTTGATAGTTACATAAACTTGCTTCTTTGTATATGGTGTTGGTGGGGGTTTACTTTTGATAGGGCCTCGTGCCATGATCCTCCTGCCCTAGCCTTCCAGTCACTGAGGACTACAGCTGTATATACCACCATGCTTGGCCTGTTTAGGTTGAGCCAACCACCAAACATGGGTCTCCCCTGTGGCCTCGGCCATCACACAACAGTGCTCTCCCACTTGTGCATTAGCAATTAGGCCTAAAAAGGAATTGTTTGATTCATTAGTCGGTGATGCATACTGTTTGTTTGTTTTTAGAAAAACGTCTGGAGTCAGGTACCCTAATATATAGGAAATATCCTGTTTTGCACATTTACTTGTTCTGACATTTCTCTGTGGTTGTTTTTTTTTTTTTTTTGTTTTGTTTTTTTACCAGATTGCCCCAGACCATGTAGTACCAGCACCAGAAGAGTGTTATGTTTATAGTCCATTGGGTTCTGCTTATAAACTTCAAAGTTATACTGAAGGATATGGTAAAAACACCAGTTTAGTAACCATGTGAGTAAAACTATTTTTTTGGAGCATGATTTTTACCTGTATATGGATGAAAATTACTGATATTTTCATTTTTTTCTTAATTAAAATGTTGAACCTAAATATTTTTACAGCTATTATTCTGTGTTTTCAGTTTTATGATTTGGAATACCATGATGGGAACATCGATTCTGAGTATTCCTTGGGGCATAAAACAGGTAATGTTATTTTTCAGCATACTTTTTGCTTAAATATTTTTTTCTATATCTAAGTTTTACAAGAGACATTTTAATAAATCTGCATAAAATTTATTTAAGAAAATAGATTATTATATTCAGTTTTTTATTAGTTGTCAGGTTTTTGTCATGCTTGTTTAATGTAACGTAATATGGTTGCATATAAATTTATTCCTTCATGATAATTATATGTTGTTTTATATTTTTATTTTTAAACAGGCTGGATTTACTACTGGAATATGTGTCATCATGCTGATGGGCCTTTTAACACTTTATTGCTGCTACAGAGTAGTGAAATCACGAACCATGATATGTAAGACTTTGACAGTGAAAATAGAGTAGTGGTAATAAATCATAATAAGTATTTCCCATTGAGGCAGATCACTAATGTTCCATGTGTGTTGGGTATCCACTTTGTGCCTAAAGATTTGAATTTCTAATTCATAGCTTTCAACTGAACTAATTAGTGACTGCCTTTGAAATTCAGGGAGACTGGGGACCAGCAGTTGGCGTAATGGCTATGTTGCTGGACTCCCATGTAGTTGACTGCAGTTTGAGTCCCAGACCTGGTGGCTTAAACGCATGTTGTGCACGTGGGCGTGTGTGCCCAAAATCCCAAGAAGAGAATGGAGGACAAGGGATTGTGCGTGGCCATCCTCCCTCGGGGGTGATTTCTCGCTTTTTGTCTCTGTCTTTCTGGCAAGCACACATGCCCTGTAGCAAAAACCTCTTCCAAAAAAAAAAAAAGCAAAAAGAAATTCAGGGAGACTGAATGTTCTTTGCAGAATACATTCACTTCAGTGCTAGTTACCTCTTAAGAATAATAAAAAGAGGAGCCAGCAGGTGTCATGGTGTTTGGGGAGCTGGACTTCTACTTGGCTGATTGGAAAAAAAGCTTGAAGAATATGCTGAAATGTGTGCATGCATGACCTGAATCCCAAGAGGACAATGGAGGACAAGGGATTGTGGCTTGGCCCTCACCCCTGGGGAGGGGGGGATGATTTATTGCTTTCTCTCTCTCTCTCTCCAGCAAACATACATGCCTTATGACAAAAACCTAAAAAAGAAAAAAAAAAGTCATATAAAGCCTTAACCAGAACTAAATTTAGAATTTTATGATTATCAGTTAATGATGATTCATTTTGACTTATTCATACCAAAATACCTAAATATTAGACTCTCCTAAAAGTAGAAACTATAACTACAAAAATACAAAAAGAAATTTTTATGGTGAATTCTTAAAGTTGTATGAACATATTATCTCTAGTTACCATTATAAATTCTGGATCAGGAAAACATGATTTTTTAGGTTATTTTATTGTAGTTTATGACCTAAGTAGATGTGCATTATTTTATTGAATCCTAGCAAGTATGAATCAACAGAATACGCTTAGTCTACAGTGTTTTTCTTTCTTTAAAGAACTTTCTTTTTTCTGTTAACCAAATCTGATCTTAGTTACTGGAGGACAATTGTTTAAGTCTTAAGTGAAGATCTTAGTTCATAATTGGGAAAAAGTTATTTTAGCTTTGGTTTCTTAAGAAAATTTTTACCTAACTTGGAAGATCTTTTTAAACATATGTAGTAAGTATGTATCTTACCTAATTCAGGGTTTTTGTTTGTTTGTTTGTTTGCCACAGGACACATGCATTTACCAGAGAGAGAGAGAGAGGAAAAGTCAGAAATCACCCCCTGGGTGGATGGCTATGCCTCAGTCCCTTCTCCTCTATTTCCCTCTTAGGATTTTGGGAATGTGCACAGACGTACCTGGCATGATTTTTAAGCCACTGGGTTTGGGATACAGAACACATTCAACAGTGTTGGAGTCCAGCACTTCAACCACTGCACCATCTATTGGCCCTCCAGGGTCTCTTTTAAAATGAGAACATAGCATCCATTGAATTCTCCCTTTAACTATTGAAGAATTAAGTAACTCTCATATTACTTAAACTATTACACAGGACCAGCAGTTAACGTAATGGCTATGTTGCTGGACTCCCACGTAGTTGACCGCAGTTTGAGTCCTGGACCCAGTGGCTTAAACTCACGCCAGGCACGTGTGTGTGCATGCCCAAGATCCCGAGAGAAGAACAGAGGAGAAGGGATAGCGGCGTGGCCATCCCCCCTGAGGGATGATTTCTCGCTTTCTGTCTCTCTGTCTGTCTCTGTCGAGCGCACGCACCCTATAGCAAAAACCTCTCAAAAAAAAAGAAAAAGAAAAAAAAAAAACCTATTTCACAACATTTTAAAAAATGGACTTCTGTAGGGACCAGCAGTTGGCATAATGCCAGTGTCGCTGGACTCCCATGTAGTCGACTGCAGTTCAAGTGTCAGACCTGGTGGCTTAAACTCATACCAGGAGCTTGTGCATGCATGCCCAAGATCCTGAGAGGAGAATGGAGGAAAAGGAACTGCAGTGTGGACATCCCCCGTGGGATGATTTTTCGCTTTCTGTCTTTCTGGAGAGAACACGCTCCCTATAGCAAAAACCTCTCCAAAAAAAAAAAAAAAGATAGACTTCTATAAATTCATTTTACATAGGCAACACAACTCTAATACAAAGACTGACATTACCAAAAAGAAAGAAATAAAAACTATATAGAAGGAATTTCTTTATAAAATATTATCAGATAGACCCAGCAGTGTATTAAAAGAATAATGCCCTATGCCTAAAGTAAGGTTTATTCAAATGATATAAGAAGGTTGTTTTGTTTTGTTTGTTTGTTTTTTTTTTAAAGAGATTTTTGCTATAGTACTTGTACTCACCGGAGAGACAGAAAGTGAGAAATCACCCCCTGGGAGGATGGCCATGCCACAATCCCTTGTCTTTCATTTTTCTCTCAGGATGCACTTGGAGTGAATTTCAAGCTGCCAGGTCTGGGACTCAAACTACACTCAGACATATGGGAGTCCAGAGCCTTAACCACTATGCCATCTGCTGGCCTAGAATGTTTTATTATTAAAACATCCAACATAATTTACTATATTAACAAATTGAAGGAAAAATCCATAATAAAATCAATATATACTGAAAAAGGCAGTTAATAGAATTCAATACTTGTTCCTGATTTAAACTCTTAAGTTAAAGGCACTACTTAAACATAATAAAGTCTGTTCATCCTTGAACCAGTACTAGACTCATTCTCAAATGATGAAATGCTATAGCTCCTTCTATTTTAATGTTATTTCTTTCTTGAGAGAGACAGCATATACAAGAAGGTCTTATAACATTGTGCTTCTCTCCTCCTAGCCTTCTAAGCTTGTCAGTACCTTGGGCACTCCACACTAGCATGTTTCAGGTCAACTTGGGATCTGAACCCACAGGCAGCCATCTGGCTTCCAGCACTGCAGATGAATACACTACTGCCTGTGTTGCTGCAGCTAGACCTAAGCACTTTAATTAAAGTCAAGAAAACATGGTCATGCTTATGACTGTTCAGTTTTGTGGCAGTATTATGAAATAGAGCAAAAAAAGAAAATTAAATAATTTAAGAACTAGAAATGACTTATAATTACATCATTAGCAGAAAAGATCATTTTATTAGAAATGCTAAGAATTAGTATTAGTAGAATTAACAAGAAAATTTGAAAAATTGTTGCATTTAAGAATCAATAACTATAGCTACAAAGCAGAAAAAAATGTATTACATTCACAGTAACAATAAACTCTAAAGAATTTAGAAATGAATTTAATGGGGCCGGCCTATGATGTGGTAGTTAAAGCAATGGAGTCCCGCATGACTGACCACAGTTCAAGTCTTGGACCTGGCAGCTTATTTTCTCACTCTCCCTCTCTCTCTCCATCTCTCTCTGGTCAAATTGAAGAAAAACAATAAATGAATAAAATATAAATAAAACAAATGAACTTGGCAAGAGAAAAACATATCTGCATGAAGAAAAATATAAAATCATATCTAAGCGCAAAAACCAAGAACTGAAGAAATGAGAAAAATATACATGTTCTTAGATAGGAAGACTTAGTATTATACAAATGTAAAATATATCAATAAAGTGCCATTTCAGTGAAAATCCAGTTTAGACTTGGGCAAAAGTAAATAAAGTTAATATGGGAAGGACCAGCCTATAGCTTAGTGGTTAAGGGAGCCAGATCCCATACAGCCGAATACAGTTCTGATCCTGGCCCCATCAGCTTAAAAACAATGGGCGTGTATGTGTGTCCCAAATCCTGACTGGATGGGGTAATAGAGGAAAAGGAATTGCAGTATGATTATGCTTTATTGGGAAGTGCTTTCTCTCTCCCCCTATTTCTCAGTTTATCAAGTTCATGCTCCTCCTAGCAATTAAAAAAAGTTACTGTGGGAAATGAATATCCAAGCCAAGCCAAGAAAATTATGAGAAAGAAAAAAGATGTGTAGGAATCGGTTTTATCAGATACTAAAATATACTATAAAGCCACTATAATAAAAGAGAAAGCTATGTCTTAGGCATAGCCAAATAGATCATCAGAATGGAATGGTGAACATAAATTCTCAGAATATATGAAGAATTTCATACATTATGTGATATTTGTTGCCTATTCAACTGATTATCCATTTGGGAAAAAAAAAAAAACCCTTATCAGGGCCAGCAGGTGGCATGGTGGTTATGGCTCTGGACTCCCACATGGCTGATCACAGCAGCTTGAAAATCATGCTGGGTGCATGTGTGTTCGTGTCCAGAACCCCAGGAGGAGAATGGAGGACAGGGGATTGTAGCAGCCATCCCCCCAGGGGGCAGTTTTTCACTTTCCCTCTCTGTGTTCTCTTTACTCCCTGGCAAGCATATGTGCCCTATGACAAAACTTGAAAAAAAAAAAGAAAAGAAAAATTAAAAAACTATCTGATATGTCATATAAAAAAAGTATTCTAGATGGTTTAAAGACTTAAATGTTAAAAAATTAAAACCATGAAGATCTTGATAGAAAATTTAAGAGTTGTACGTATAACCTACCAATTGAGGATGTGATATTTTCTTTTATCTTTTTCTTTTTAGAGAGATTTTTGCTATAGGGCACGTGCACTCGCCAGAGACTGATAGAAAGCAAGAAATCACACCCTTGGTTGGCCATGCTGCAATCCCTTCTCCATTCTCCTGTAGGGATTTGGGGCTCGCATTGCACACACGCCCAACATGAGTTTCAAGCTGCTGAATCCAGGACTTGAACTACTGTTGACTACTTGGGGGTCCAGCAATGTAACCACTATGCCATCTACTGGTTGATATAGAAGCTTTAAAAGAAAGAGTTTCATCAGAAATGGTTCTTCATTGGAAATCATCCTAAAAGATAATCAGTTAACCAGGATTTTTTTTTTGAGAAGTTTTTTCTATAGGGAGCGTGCGTTCGCCAGAAAGACAGAGAGAGACAGAGAGACAGAAAGCGAGAAATCACCTTCCAGGCGGATGGCCATGCCATAATCCCTTTTCCTCCGTTCTCCTCTCAGGATCTTGGGCATTCACGCACACACACCTGGTGTGAGTTTAAGCCATTGGGTCCAGGACTCGAACCACAGTCGGCTACATGGAGTCCAGAGACACAGCCATTATGCCAACTGCTGGTCCCAACCAGGACCTTTTTAAAAGCCTCATGCCTTCAGGGTGGGGTCCATGCTTGAACTAATTTGTGGAAAAAACAAATCCAGGCCTATAGCACATTGGTTATGTGCTATACTTCGGGATCTGGATCCCTCATGGCTGACTCCAGTTTGAATTCCAGCTCCAGTGACTTGAATAACACTCTGGTGTGTGCGTGCGGCCTCCATATCCTAACAGGATAGATAAATGGAGAAAAAGGGATTGTGGCATGGCCATACTCCATTGGGGGGCACTCTCTCTCTCTCTCTCTCTCTCTTTTTCTCTCTCTCTTTTTCTGTGGCTAGTGCACACTTTCTGTGGCAGTTAAAAGGAATACAAAGAAAGACAAGTCTATAAAGACCTTGTCTGAAAGTTATAATGAAACCTTTTCATCAAAACATCAGTTCATTATATAATTCCTATTGAAGGAGATAATTATTATCCAACATTCATTGAGAAACTGTTGTGCTGTGTCTCTAGATAAGATTATTCTCTATGTCCCTCTACGTCCAATCTTCTTTGGATATTTATAGGCTAATAGTAAGTTCAATGAAATAAGATGTTTTCCTTCATTTCTTTGGTTGTTTCTTTTGATTCTGGATACCCTAGCATCTATAAAAATGGTGTTAGTGTAATGCCAGTGTAGAGTGGGAACAATATTTTGGGGCATATACAGTTATCTCAGTGGTCCTACTGATCCACATACCACTTTTCTCTTTTCTCCGGTATGAACTAGAAGAGTTGTTGAAGCAGTTATTTTCTTTCTTTTTTTTTTTGGAGAGGTTTTCGCTACAGGGCACGTGTGCTCACCAGACAGACAGAGAGAGACACAGAGACAGAAAGCGAGAAATCACCCCCCAGGGGGGATGGTCACGCCGCAATCCCTTCTCCATTCTCCTCTCGGGATCTTGGGCATGCACGTACATGTGCCCGGCGTGAGTTTTAAGCCACCGGGTCCGGGATGCGAACCGCGGTCGACCATGTGGGAGTCCAGCAACATAGCTGGTTCCTGAAGCAGTTATTTTCTATCGTGATATTATTCTCACATTCTTTGTCTAAATGTTAGTTATGGTGTTCAAATGTCCTTAACTTCTCAAGCTTCATCACTGCTTCCTGCCATATACTAATTGTTGTATTTTGCTTCAGGAAGGAAAGAATTTCTGTTTATGAATAGTCATCAAACAACAATTATTTAAAGTTGAAAGGATGGGATTATAGAGGAGTATAGACTATAAAATAAAAGTATCCTTTGGGACCAGCAAGTTGCATAATGGTTATGTTGCTGAACTCTCACATAGTTGACCACAGTTGGTGTCCCGGATCCGGGCTTAAAACTCACACCAGGCGTGTGTGCATGTGTGCCCAAAATCCCGAGAAGAAACAGAGGAGAAGGAATTGTGGTATGGCCATCCCCCCTGAGGATGATTTCTCACTTTCTCGCCGTCTCTCTGGCAAGCATACGCACCCTATAGCAAAAAATCCTCTCAAAAAAAAAAATATATGTCCTTTGATGACAAGTAAAATAATGTCTTACAAGTTATATTTATCTATCGTAGATTTTTTTTGAACATCAAAAGATGAAACAAAGAAATGTTTAATGTTATAATAATGCTACCACATACAAATATTTCTTTTTATATACACATACATTAATTTCTATAGGGTTGTCAGAAGTCTTGACACGTTTTTGCATAGAAAAATAAAAATATGTCATGACTTTTTTGACAACCCAATATATCAAGGCATGTTTTATATTGTATTACAGTTTCGTCTTCTTTATTTCTTATTTTTTTAGTCAATTTTATATTTCTGCAATCACCATTTTTATCTCTTAACGATTATATGATTGCACTCTGTGGTATTTGCTTAATTACTGCCATACTTTTATAGGATTAAGTCATTGCTTGATTTTTGTGATTCTGGATAATAGTCCTCTAAAAATATTTTATGCATACTTTCTATATTCCTTTTTTTCTTTTGAAAGAGATATTTGCTATAGAGCACATGTTCTTACCAGAGAGACAGAAGCAGAAAGTAAGAAATTACCCCCCCAGGGAGGATGTCCACGCCATAATCCCTTCTCCATTCTCCTCTCTTGGATTTTGGGTATGCACGCACATGTGCCCAGAGTGTTTCAAGCTGTCGAATCTGGGACTCGCACCACAGTCAGCCATGTAGGAGTCTAGCAATGTAACCATTATTCCATTTGCTGGTCCTGATACTTCCTATGTTCTTTTGAATTACTTTCTTAAACCAAATTTCTACATGATTAGTTTCTAAATTTATTTCTAAGAATTGTACTCATTTATAGTGGCATCAGCTATGAATGAATGATGCTGCTTCTTTGAAATTTGCTGTTAATTTTGTGTGTTCCTATCATTTTGTTCGTTGTGCTTCATTTTAATACCTGAAAAGTAGTACATTTTTCTTTAATTGTGTTTATATTTCTTTCCTATTTACCCACAATTCCCTTGGTACTCTTATAGATCTGCTAAACAATTTCTTGCCTTTACTTTTTTTAATTGAAAGAGGGTGGGTGCATTTGTCAGAGACAGAGTGGGGCTTGTTCATGCCACTATCCCTTCTTTTGTACATTGTGTTGGGATTTGGGGCATGCATGAACACACACCCAGAGTATTTTTCAAGTGACCAGGGACGTGATTCCAACCAGGGTCAGCCATATGAGATCCAACTCCCTTAACTACTAGGCTACACAACCAGCCCTATTTATAATTCCTTATAAATTTCTTTTACGTTTGGTGTTTGAATGACTTTTATATAGCAGCAGTGTGTATCTGCCTATTTTTTCCATCATAATTTCTGTTTCTACAGTTGGTTTAAAAGGACAAGCTTTCATGTTCTATTTCTACATATGTTTTCTAACTTTTCTACTATTTAATGAAAAAAGTATTTTTTCTTAGTAATTTTTTGTATTGGTGTATGTGCTTGTGGAGACAGAAGGAAGGGAGAAAGAAGAAGCACCCTCTATTAGGGCATAGTCATGTTGTAATCTGTTTTCTTCCATTTGTCAGGATTTAGGGCACACCTGCCCATGCACATGTACCCAGTGTGTTTTCCAAGCTACAAGGGGCTAGAATTCAAACTGCAGCTGGCTAGGTAGGATCCAGCTCTTTATGCACTATACTTAACTACTGCACTACAGGGCCAGTCCTAATTTTTTTTATATTACACTTAATCACATCTATCTTTACCGTATATAACATTTCTTTTTCCAGCATGATTACTATGCATATCAGTCAAGACAAAGACATTACTATCCACATCATCATCATCAAATAGCTTTTCAATTTTTTTCAGATTATTTTTTATTCTCATTATTCCAGTCCTAATTTTTTAAATTCATAATCAGTTATTTGAAATTTTAATTGGCATGTGGTATAACATATTACTCAAGAAAACTTTTCTTTATATTTTTATTGTATCTAAATATGCCAAATTAAGTAATGTTTTCTGTCTCTTACTGATATTTACCTAACCTTTGTTTATCTTGCTTTTGTTAATTATAAAATGTTGTAATGCTGTAATCTGTTTCTCAGATTATCTGTACTATTTTATTGCTTTATTTCATTTTATGTTTGTTCTATACTGTTTTATTTTTTATTTTTGAGAGATTTTTGCTGTAGGGCACATGCACTCACCAGAAAGACAGAGAGAAAGCGAGAAATCACCCCTCAGGAGGATATGGCCATGCTGCAATCCCTTCTCCTCCATTCTCCTATCAGGATCTTGGGCATGCACGCACACGTGCCCAGCATGAGTTTAAGCCACCGGGTCCAGGCCTCGAACTGCAGTCAACTACATGGAAGTCCAGCGACATAGCCATTATGCTAACTGCTGGTCCCTGTTCTATACTGTTTTAATTGCTGCTGTTTCATGATATGTTCTATCTGGTGGTAGATTATCTCTAATGTTTTGTTAAATATTTTGAGTTTATTTGGATAACACAAATTGTGAGTATGGAATATAAGATCAACATCTAGTCTTATTCTTTCTCTTTATTTTATCTAGCATCATTGGATACCACTACTTGGGAATATCCAGATGTCTGCAAATATTATTTTGGCTCCTTTGGGCAGTGGTCGAGTCTCCTTTTCTCTTTGGTATCTCTCGTTGGAGCAATGATAGTTTATTGGGTGCTTATGTCGAATTTTCTTTTTAATACTGGAAAGTTCATTTTTAGTAAGTATCCCTATCAACAGAGTTAATTTCTTTTCATAATGTTTTAGTTCTAACCTGAGGTTCTAAGACTTGGGAATAAGTTAAGTAAGAAGTAATTATATATATTTCTAGGAAGTATAGTTGTACTTATTTATACTTTATTCCATTTTTTTAAGGTTTTGATCTTAAGTATTATGTGTATGTTTATTTTCAAATATTAATTTTTAAATAAGTAATCTTTCAAATCTGTATCTAATATATAATATTTCTAAAACTCAGTAATTAAAGCATTGTTTCTATCTTTACCACACAAATTTGGCATAACAGAAAAGTTCATAAAGGTCACTGGTGTTTGTTATGGTAAGAATTTGTTGTATAGACTCTAGGGGAAACAAATTTCCATCACTATTTTAACCCATTACAGTCTAAAATCAGGAAATTAAAGAATGGAATATATGCAATTCATTTATTTACATACCACAAAACTGTAAACTGCTCAAATTGGCTACTTGATTTCTAAAAAGAATTTCAAATTCGAGCCAAATACTTTTTATAATATTTTTAAAAATTGAATAGAGGAAGTTTATTTTATATTGCATAAGAGTCCACATTTTTTTCTCTGACTGATAGACCTTAGAATATGTTTAGTTGTTTTTTAAAAATCTCATATAGGGACTAGCTGGTGGTGTGATAATTACAGCAGCTGGATTCCACATGGCTAACTGTGTAGTTGGAATTCTGGACCTCGCGACTTAAAAACATGCCAGGCATATGTGTGTGCACACTCAAAATCCTGAAAGGAGAAATGGAGAAGGGATTGCAGCGTGGCCATCCTTCCCTGGGGGGTACTTTCTCACTATCTTCTCTTTCTCTCTCTCTCTCTCCAATGAGTGCATATGCCTTACACCAAAATAAAATAAAATAAAAAGAATATATGTGTTACAGAGGATCAGATTAAATTGAGTGAATGTATTTTAAAAAAACCTACATATTTAAAAATCTAGATTTACATGAACACTAAATTTCAAAATAGGTTTTAACATAACCTCAACAGCTAATTTCCCTAAAAGGCTTTGAGTGGGAGGGTAAATTCTATTTTTAATCTGACTTTAATAAGATTAGCGTTGTAATTAAGTTTTTTTATTAACAAGCATTTTTATTATATAAAAATTATGGAGCATTTCAAATGGCAAAAATATGCTTAATATAAATTCCAGTGTATGCACTAATGAGCTTTAGGGCCTTAACATTTTATTGTATTTGTTAGTTTACTATTCTTATAAAAATAAAATATTACAGATATAGAGGAAGTCTCATATACTCCTTTTCAATCATCCTTTCCTTTCTCTAAACTCGGTGTTTATCATTCCCATGCATATTTTTGATACTTTTACTACAGAAATATGAGCAACATGCAATATTGTTTTGCATGTTTTTAATCTATACAAATGCTTTTGCAAATTACTTTCTGTCTATCATTGTCTTTATTAATATACATAGTTCACTATTTTCACTTCTATAGCATTCAGGAATGTGAACATATCACAACTTGTTTATCTACTTTCTTGTTGATAAATGTTTTCAGTTATTTTGCTATTACAAACAAGGCTTTATTAAATACCTTTACTTCTGGCTCTTTGTATAATGTGGGAGATTTTTTCTAAGTTGTGTACCTATAAGATAAATTTCTGGAATTTAGGATGTTTACATTTTCAGTTTTACTAGAAATTGCCAAATTATTCTTTATCATGCTTGTTTCTTTTCTTTTGTCTTTATTGAGAGACTTTTGCTATAGGGTGTACGCACTCACCGGAAAGACAGAAAGTGAGAAATCACTCCTTGGGGGGATGGCCATGCCACAATGCCTTCTCCATTCCCCTCTCAGGATTTTGGGCACATGCACACACATGCCCAGCGTGATTTTATTTATTTATTTTTTTAAGCTACCTGGCCCAGGATTCAAACTGCAGTCTACTGTGTGGGAGTCCAGCGATGTAACCATTTCGCCATCTGCTGGTCCCATCTTTTTTTTTTTTTTTTTTTGAGAGGTTTTTGCTATAGAGTGCGTGTGCTCGCCAGACAGACAGAGAGACAGAGAGACAGAAAGCGAGAAATCACCCCCCAGAGGAGATAGCCACACTGCACTCCCCCCTCCTCCATTCTCCTCCCGGGATCTTGGGCACGCACACACACGCGCCCGGCGTGAGTTTAAGCCACTGGATCTGGGACTCGAACCACGGTTGACTACGTGGGAGTCCAGCGACATAGCCATTACGCTAACTGCTGATCCCATCTTTATCATGCTTGTAGCAAATGTTTGTTGCAGTGCTTGTCGCATTCTTGCCAACAGTTTTTGAAAGTTCCCTCGTGTTATATCCTCTCACACACTTGATATTCCCAGACTTCAATTTTGCCACTCAAGATGTGGTTTTAGTTTGTATATCTCCTTGTAAGATGGGACATTAGACATCTTTTCTCCTTTTTAAAAGAATTATTCATTTAATTTGATTTTTTTAAAAATTTGACCAGGAGGCAGTAGGGCAAGCCACCAGGTTCAGGACTCAAACTGCATTTAGCCATGTGGGAGTCCAAAGCCTTGACATCATGCCAGCTGCCAGCCTGACATCTTTTCTTAATTATATTGACTGTTAAATAGCTTATCTTGTATCTTTTACTTGTTTTTCTATTGGATTATTGGTCTTTTTTTCTTGTTAATTGATGGGGAATTTTAAATTGCCAGGGAGATGTATCCTCCCCAAACAGAGACAGAGAAAAAGAGAAACACCCCCTCAAAGGAGTGTGGTCATGCCACAATCTCTGCTCCTCCATTTCTGGATCCTGCCTAGCTTTTTGGCTCACCCACACATGTACTTAGTATATTTTTCAAGCTACCAGGGCTGGGATTCAAACTATAGTCAGCCACGTGGAATCTGGCTCCCTTAACCACTAGGCTATGGGCCCAACCCTAAACCATTCTTACATTCCGGGATAACACAATGCATATATTTTTAAAATTCCTTACTGGATTAAATTTGCTTTTTTAAGGGGCAGGCACTAATATTTTACTTAGAACTTTTGTGTGTTTTCATAAGAGATACTGACCTATAGTGTTTTTCTTTCTCATGCTGTTCTTCAGCCTTGATGTATTAGCTTCCTAGAACTATGTTCCTATGGTAACAAATTACCAAAAAGTGGTAATTAAAACAACGGAAATTAATTTTTTCATAATTGTGGAAACCGTTGATAGAAGTCTGATATCAGTCAGCAGAGCCCTACTCCCTTTGAAGGCTCAAGGAAAGAATCCTTCTTTGCCTCTCTTTCTAGCCTTTGTGGGTTGCCAGTAATGCTTATAATCCTTGGCGTTCTTTGGCAAGAAGCTACTTCACTCCAGCTTTTCCCTTCGTCTTCATGTGGCTGTCTTCCCTCTGTGTGTCAGGTCCAAATTTTTCTCTTCTTAGAAGGACACCATGCATTGGCTTTAGGGCCTACCCTAATCCAATATGACCTCAACATGATTACATCTGCAAAGTCCCTGTTTCTGAATAAAATCATATTCTGAGGAGGGCATAAATTTGGTGGGCATAAATTATGCAGGTTAGGGAGTCACTGTTCAGCCCAGTACACTTGGCATCAAGATTTTACTTACTAGTCTTTCACTAGTACTTTGGAATCAAGAAATTACATAAAAATTCATAACTTCTAATCTTAACTAATAATCGCTGGAGATAATGTAAAACCCCAGAGCATTATATTACTTTTATTCTATATTACTTTTATTCTGAGACGCATATGGTGAAAATCAATAATTCACGTATTTATCTTGTTTTTATGACCTTGAAACCTAACCCAGCATTGATTACCAACTCATTTAAGTTTCACAGCCACAGACATTAATGTTTACCAAGGCTATAAAAGTTTAATATCAAACAGAATGAAGTAAACTCCCTGAAGCCTTGAAAGAGAATAATTTCTCTACCCATTCTCACATTCACTATAGAGGGATATGAAAGCTCTGTGATACCTGCACCTGCTTTTTCTTAGTTTAACTCGATGTTTCATATGAGCATGGTAATTACCATACAGCCTGTGTCTGTAAAAACATGAGCTGTATTTTGTAAAACTTTAAGTAATTTCCCAAGTGAGTTAGTTTTCCATACTTAGAATTTTATGTAGACTGTAGCTATACTTATATAAATTAGTGAGAGGGTATAGGGAGAGAACCGTGCACATGATCTTCATTCTGGGACCTTTAACTACCATTAGTTTAGCCTCATTGGTTGAGTTTTTTAAAATCTTCAGTTATGTAAAATTTTTCCACAGCAGGATTGTGAAGCCAATGACATTATCATTCCTGTAAGTGAAGAGTACTGGAAGGTGAAGCTGTGTTAGCAGTGAAGTACTGTGGACTTGGTTCGGTGAACTATGTAATACTGCTCTACAGTAGATACTAAGAGAGGTTATAAGTAAAAGGCTTAGAGGCAGTAGACTTAGTATCTTTCATTCAGTGTTTAACTCTATTCTCCCCTTAACTTTTAGATTTTATTCATCACATTAATGACACAGACACTATTCTGAGTACCAATAATACCAACCCTGGTAAGTAATTTGGAATTTAATTTATTTGTTTATTCCCCACTTTGCTCCAAAAAAGGTTTTAAGAAAGAATATGTCAGCTTATTTTAGGTAAACAATTAACAAAAAATGATTATCATTCTCAAATGTGAACTGAACTATTACTAAATTCAGTAATCAGTATGTTTAAAAAAAAGAACTACTTCATAAACAGTAGCATTAATGTAAGTGAGGCAATGTTTAGTGCATATTATGAAACTCACAACTCTATGATATCTGTGTTCGCCTGTACAATAACCAGTATTTGTTTTTTGAGAGCTTTTTGTTATAGGGCACATCCGCTTGCCAGAAAGACAGAGACAGAGAGACAGAAAGTGAGAAATCAACCTCTAGGGGGGATAGCCACGCCGAAATCCCTTCTCCTCCGTACTCCTCTCGGGATCTTGGGCATACATGCACATGTGCCCGGCGTGAGTTTTAAGCCACCAGGTCCGGGACTTGAACCGCAGTCAACTACATGGGAGTCCAGTGACATAGCCATTACGCTAACTGCTGGTCCCAATAATCAGTATTTTTAAGAACCTGTATCATTGCTAACCATATGGGATGTTTAGAGGTATAGCTCTCATTTTATTAACTTAGTATTAGATATATTTATTGTCTTAGTTACTAATATATAAGCTACACAGATTTGTAATCTATAAAATAATAAATTGCCTAATAATGCCTAATAATGAACAGAGATTAATTAGTATGTAAACATGGAAAAGTATATTAAGGCTTTGGCTTTAAAAAAAAATACGATTTCTTAACATGCCGGGCATGTGTACATGCTTGCCCAGGATTCTTACAGGATATTGAGATGGAAGAGAAGGGATTGCAGCATGACCATGTCCCTCTGAGGGGGTGCTTTCTCCCTCTCTCTCTCTTTATGTCCTCCTATCTCTCTGTCTCTCTCTGGTGAGCACATATACCCTCTGGCAAACTTTTAAAAAATAAAAATAAATATGTTTCTTAGGAAAGTTTTCTTTATTTATTAAAAATAAATCTTTGTGGCCTTTTGGGCACAAAGTTAATCAAGTATGGCAGTAAGAGGAAAGTGAATATAAAAGCTAATGTAAACTTTTTAATAGTTACACCGTTAACCTTGAACATCACCTAAAGCTTTTATGTGTCTAGGTTTCAAGGAGACCAAATCGATGTCATTTTGATGGAGGTACACATCAATCATTCAACCCATATTTGTCAAGCCTTTTATGTGTGAGGAATTATCCTAGGCTCTGGAGACACATAACAAAAGTCCCTTCTCACTTGACGCATACACTTTAGTCTTTGCTATTATTAATTTGCTCCTTAATTAATTAACCTGTTTTTGTCAACACTAGAAAATGAGTGAGTGAAGTACTAGCTTTTATTTCTGTGAGTATACATACTCCTTCGAATTATTATGCAAAAATATCTTGTGCCCTATCCATGACCTCAGAATTTTTGAAGGACGAAATAAAAAAGGAAAATTACTTTACCATAGTTATTCTGGTATCAGTTGATGAAGCTAGTTTATTAATATCTACTAGGATCTCTTCTCCAGCAGAGTCAGTTCTTCATTAAGGTTGTAACTGTCACAGTCACATTGATGACCTGGAGAGCTCCAACAGCACAGTTTACTTTGCATAACAACCTCTTACACTGAAACCAATACTTCTTGATTTCTCTTATGATGTCCATTTTGAACAGTGTGGCAAAGAGCGACAATATGAGACAATCTGTCTCAGTTAATGCAAAAAGTTATAGCTTATGTGTATTGAATACTTCCTGCACAAGCATCGTTCTTAATGTTTTCCAGCAACCCTATAAGACAGAAGCTATTAACTCCATTTTCTAGATGGAGAAACCACAGCACAGAAAAATTAACTTGCCCAAGGACATTTAGCTGTTAGGTAGCAGATTTAGAATGCTTGTTCATCCATTTTACTTCCATAGCCTGTGCTCCTAACTAATATGATTAGCAAAGACAATTTCAAATTAATTTACATCTGTCCAGAGCATAAAAGAAAAAAGTGCATGTTAAAATGCTAAAAAAGAAAAAAGAAAATTAAATGTTGATTTTGTACTTTACCTGGTAACAGAAAAAATTGCCACTTACAGATTAACATTTAAAATAAAAATTTTATTGACTTACCAGTTCTCTGAATATCATCTGGACTGTTAGGTTTATCCTAAATGTGATAAACTTTCAGAATTATTTTGGATTGCTAAAATTCAAATTCTTAAGTTCTCACCAGTGATTAGGTTTTGATGGCACCATAGCAGCATTCATGGTACCAGAGCAGCTATTTCAGTGGTATTTGCTTTTTATTCCAAAATTGTAGATTTTGTTTGTTGCTGAAAGAATCCTACTCTTTGGTTTTTGTCTTGGTTATTAGTGCAATAGTTAACCTTAAGTGTTACTACTTATATTATTATATAAATAAGACCAAATGCCATCCAGTACATTATTTTCTCTCTGACAGTCAAACCAAGAGATATGTGGGAGGTTATTTTTTTTTATAGTTTCTAGTGAGATAAAGGTTACACCTCAAAATGTTCTAAGATTTCCTCACCTTTAATTATTTATTTGTAGGTTAAAAATTCCTAATATACCTAAAAATAATCCTCAATATTTTTCCAAAAAGGGTGAAACTTAGTGCTCCTAGTAGAAGTTAAGGTGGGCAGAACAAGCGTTGTTCTCTGGGGGCAGTCATTTCCTGTTCTCTGCGGTTGTCTCTAACCTGGTGCTTTCTCCTACTACAGTGATTTGTCCAAGTGCCGAAAATGGTGGCCATCCTGACAATGGCTCTATGATTCTCTTCGCCAATGACACGGGAGTCCAACAATTTGAGAAATGGTGGAATAAGTCCAGGACAGTGCCCTTTTACCTAATAGGGCTTCTCCTACCGCTGCTCAATTTCAAATCTCCTTCTTTTTTTTCCAAGTTTAATATCCTAGGTAAGCCATGGCACATAATTATGGAGCCTCTGTGTGACTACATTGTGGATTCTGTGAAAATATGGTCCGGCTAGGGAGTTACCTTCCAGACCTGTTCATCCATGTTTAATTTGTTCATTCATGTGGTTTTTTTCATATGAATTTGGTCTTTTGTGGTTAGATGACCATTTCAAGTTTGTTTTGCTTTTTTTTCTTTTTAAGATGTGAGTTATTTGGTTTCTTATTCTAACCTTACTGAATAATTTTTCCTCATTTCCTCTGTGAATACAACTAAGGGTAATACAATAGAATTTCAGAAGGAAAGAGCCACATAGATATTTTAGGACTTCTCATTTCTAAGAGTAAGGAGAATTAGAACTTACTAAGGGAGGTTTTAGAATTTTTTAATACAGTTTCTATTTAAGATTATTAGAATTATCACCTGACTTTCAACCTGGGAGATCATTCTCTAGCTCAAGCTTCTTAGGTTTATCATGCTTTTTCTCTTTTCCTCAGTGCTTTTTCTTTCTTTGAACTCTATGGCCTCCTTACAGAAACAGGCCCTTTTTGTGAACTGTTTTTCAGATGTTCCTAAAGGAATGTTTTGATGCTATCTAAAATAACAAAAGGTACCCCCAGTGAAAGCTAGAACCTGGTTAACTAAAGACAGGGATGTCACTCATAAAGATCTCACTCCTAAATAAACTCCTTCTTGTCAATCTTATTTTCCAGTAGGCATTCTAGAGTATACAATGATTAGATTATCCATCACATCAAGGGAGCAGGTAGTTGGCTGCTGGGTTTCCTGTAGATCGAAGAAAGAGATAAAGATATTTCTCTATGCTTGTCTGTCTCAAAGCAGGATTCACTTATCTGCCATAGACACACATAGAAAATGAAGAGTTGTGGTTATATAAGGTTTGACCTCTTGTTTTCATCCTTTCTGAATCAGCTAATCTCCAAACCCACAGCAGAGTTTACATAGCTCGTTGCGGTTTCCTGATTTTCTTGCCAACCTTCTTATGGTACAAATCTTTTAAAAGCGTGTGAACTTACAGAAGAATTTGCTATCTTGAACAAAATAATCACCAGACTTCCAACCAGATTAATTATTTACCACTTCCTTAAGGATATTCTACTTTTATCTTTTTTTCCTTTTTTAAATTATTTACCACTTTCTTAAGGATATTCTGCTTTTGTCCTTTCTCCTTTCTTTCAAAACTATAGCTTTTTAGAGAAATTAGCATCTAATGACTTTCCTGAGTGCCCTGACTCTATTCCATAATGCAAAGTTTAAGTCCCTAAAAAAAAATAATAATCTTCTAACTTTTACCTTACTAAAAAAACTCTTAATGCTAACTTTACTCTGTGCTTACTACCTGGGAGTAGAATATGGAATCTTTCCATCCTAGTATTCCTTAGTCAAAACTTCATCTCGAGATGAGGTAAGATTATTCATAGATGATTTGGTTTACTGTCTTTCTCAAGTATGTGTATGACCCACATTCACTACTTTTCTTTCTTTACTTTCTTATCACCTGACATTAAATACTGTGACAAACTTTTCCAGCCCACTAACTGTCTTTAACACTTCCAGTACAAAGAATAAAAGTCAGTTTCATGTTGCTTTTCGCCTCATATAACTTTACAGTTTTGTAATGGACTTCCTGCTTATGTCTTCCACTAAACTTAGCTCATAAGTAAATGAAGTAGTTTCGTATTCAACAACATATGAGCTACTTTCATCCAGTTCTTCATAGGCCCATTACATAGTTGTAGAGGTTTTGTTTTCTGGTGACTCACATAGCTTTATTCTTTAGATCCCAGCTGGGTTTTAATGGGGTAGTCACTTTGCTGAGGATGTGGAAGCAAAGCTTTATTTTAGTCTATAAAACATACAAAGCTGATAAAGGATTTCTGAATTTTTTTCTCACAGGAACAGGATCTGTTCTCTATTTGATATTCCTTGTCACCTTTAAGGCTATTCGCTTGGGATTTCATTTGGAATTTCATTGGTTGATCCCAACAGAATTTTTTGTACCAGGTAAGCTATTTTAGCAAAATAAAGAACTGATAAATTATGACAACATGATCTTTAAATTGACTAGTATTATTTATTATTCTAACATAAATAAGAAATGGTATTTTTTATACCAAAAAATTTTATCACTGCTGTTAAACTAAAAATAGGACTACAGTTGAGATTACATTGGAATTTTTGTAGTTAGGAGTAACCAGGGCCCTTTGTCATTTCTACTTGGGAGCTAAGGTTCATGTGTGTTACAATGCAATTGAAAACTCAAGAACTCATTCTCTAGACTGTTTTGAGAAGTATACCCCTAAAATTTTAAAGATACAGAAAATGGTCAGTGGTGTACATAAATAATACTGCTTGTTAAAATAATTGACTATCAGATGGTGAAAAGGTTATGTCGCTGGACTCTCACATAGCTAACTGCTGTTTAAGTCCCAGACCTGGAGGCTTGAAAACTCTACGGTGAGGTGGGGGGGACCAGCAGTTGATGTAATGGCTATGTCGCTGGACTCCCATGTAGCCGACCACGGTTCGAGTCCCAGATCCGGTGGCTTAAACTCATGCTGGGCGCATGTGTGTGCATGCCCAAGATCCTGAGAGGAGAATGGAGGAGAAGGGATTGCGCTGTGGCCATCCCCCCAGGGGGTAATTTCTCGCTTTCTGTCTCTCTCTGTCTTTCTGGCAAGTGCACGCGCCCTATAACAAAAACCTTTCTTAAAAAAACAAAAAACAAACCTCTACCAGGGTATCTGTGTATCTGTGCCCATAATACCAAGGAGAGAAGGGACTGTGGCATGGTCATCCCCCCTGGGGGTTGATTTCTCATTTTCTGTCTCTCTGTGTGTCTCAATCTCTCCAGCAAGCACACACACCCTGTAGCAAAAATCTCTCTCTTTAAAAGTAAATAAATAAATAAATAATCATTTTGGGGGACAACTGGTGCTGTGGTGGTTAAGGCCACTAGATTCCACATGACTCAATGCATGGTTCTCCTGGGCCACCTGAAGAATACACCAGGCACATGTGTGTGCATGTCCAAAATCTCAACAAGAGAGGGACCAGCAGTTGGCGTAATGGCTATGTCGCTGGACTCCCATGTAGCCGACCACGGTTCGAGTCCCAGATCCGGTGGCTTAAACTCATGCTGGGCGCGTGTGCGTGTGTGCCCAAGATCCTGAGAGGATAATGGAAGAGAAGAGATTGCAGTGTGGCCAACCCCCCTGGGGGGTGACTTCTCGCTTTCTGTCTCTCTCTGTCTTTCTGGTGAGCACATGCACTCTGTAGCAAAAACCTCTCCAACAAAAGAAATGGAGGAAAAGGGGGGCTGGCAGATGGTTTGGTGGTTAAGGTGCTAGACTACCACATGGTCGACCATAGTTCGAGTCCCAAACCTGGCAGCTTACTTTCTCTCTCTCATCAGTGTGTGTGTCCTATAGCAAATTTTAAAATAATAATACTAAATAAAATTAAGTAATAATTCTTTAAAAAGAAAAAGAAATGGAGAAGTAATTATGACATGCCCATCCCACGTGGGGTGAGCTTTCTCACTTTCTCTGTCTCTATGGCAAGCACTGAAAGCCTTACAGGTTTTGCTTTTTTTTTTTTTTTTTTTTTTTTTTTTTTAATTTTACTCTTTTTCAGACTAATTAAAATGACAGTCATTAAATATGTTCTGCTTCTCTTTTTCCCATGTTTATAACTTGTCAATTTCTTCAGTTTCGCTCAAATTTAGAAATTTGAGGCATGATAATAGCCCATGGAGCAATGAGTAAATAATGCTAAATGAGGTGGTGTGGTGGTTAGGGCACTAGACTCCTATCCTTCATGGCTGACTGTGGTTTGAGTCCTGGACCTGGAAACTTACTTCCTCACTTTTTCTCTCTCTCTGTCTCTCTCTCTCTCATGTGTTTGCCGTATAGCAATTTTTTAAAATGAAAATAAATAAAATTATTCTTTAAAATTTTTTTTAAATATTGCTAAATAAGCAAACAGATTAGAAAGTAGAAGTGACTATTATACTAGTATCTTGAAAAGTAATAGTGAGAAAATAGTACAGGATTCTGTTATTGGTTGAACACTGTTGATTCAGTCTAGTATTCTAAGTCTCTCAGTATCTGGTGTTAATTTCTAATGTCTGTAATTGTAGATGTCTACCACGTGTTTTATTTTTGTTACAACATTCCCAGGTTTTTCAGGAGCATGGAGTTGATGACCAGTGGAAGTTGTTTAGGTTATCATTGTCTTTTAGGAAATTTCACAGTGTTAGCTTTGATTTTTCATTTCTTGTAGATGCCCACAAAGACTGAAGTCAGTGTAGAATCAGAATAAGGGAAGTACTGGGACTTGGAAAGCACTCTTCTCTCCGAGAGTGTATTTAAAATTAGACACTGATAAAAACAGCTATTTTAAAATAACTTCCATTGAGCAATAAAAATAGTCTAGGATTTCATTTTCTAAAATTAGGCCCATTGTGATTTATAGAGAATTTTAGTAATAGGAGTTTCTACTAATGATATATTAGAGATAGATAAAAGGGAAAAGGACACAGTAGTTATTTAAAAGACAGCAAAGAAAATAAATATTTAAGTACATATTAAGCCATTTGTCTACTTTGCTTCTTTATGAAGGAGGGATTATGAGAACTAAAATGTTTGTGTTAATTATTTATGGTCCATGGCACAGTGGTAACGCACTGCTCAAAAGAAACCCGATAGCATGTAGATCCTCAGCTCAATCTCCCTGATACATGCTGGGCTCATGCATGTGTGGTGTGTCCAGGATCCAGCTGGATAGAGAACTGGGGGAAGGGGGTCATGGTGTGACTAGACCCCATGGAGGACACTCTTTCTTTTTTTCTTTCTGAATTCTCATGCATGTATACATGCTTTAGCATGAATACAGAAAAAAAATTTAATTATGGTCTGAAATAAGTAAGTTATATTGTGATTTCTCAAGAATGAAAATATGTCATAAATTTTTTTCAGTAAAGGCTAATCAAGATTCAGAATTTGGAGATGTGGATCTTTATTGTCCTGATGAGAATTCACAAAGTTTGGTAGTTCTTATTGAATCTTTCTTACTTACTTATGTTCTCTTGTCTCTAAAAAAACATGTTTTTGGTGCCACAGATTCCATCACCCCTTATACAAGTAATTGGAAAAATGAGAAAAACTCTTACACATCTCACTCTAGTCTTTCTTGCCTACTTATGGAGAGAGTTGTGTTTGCTTATTGTCTCCAACATCTTCCATTTTGCCTTGGATTCACTTCTGCCAAGGCTTTGCCCTCCTCACTTGACAAAACCATTGACTATACCTTGCCTGATCCAATGATGACCAATTCTCACTATACTTACTAAGCCTGCCAGCAGCATGGGACACATTCGGTTACTCCCTTCATCTTGAAATATTTCTTTACTTGACTTCCAAAACCTCATTCTCTAACCAGTTCCTCTACGTAGGCATTTAAATTATTTCTAATATTTTTTAAAAATGCTTAAATTTTTAAAAATTTTTTAAAAATTTAAATTTGTCATTGAAGACTATAAAATGACCAATTCTCCCCTACTTAATTCCTTTTCTAGAAGTACTTTTATAGAAAATTCAAGTGTCAGAAAAGTGAAGAACTTTAAAGTCAGACAGACCCTGAATTTGAATTCTGCTTTGCCAAATACTAACTTTCTGACCTAAAATAGGAATAACTGATAGAAAGTACCCAAAGAGAGGAAACATTTTCTATTTCTTTCACTTTTAAATACTTTTCCTCGTATAATGATAGCTTTGAAGAGCTTCATAAATTCACGTTTTAATATCCTTACTCCTTGGACAAAGCAGAGACAACTAGTCTTTAGTCATCAATTTTGGGTTGCTAATATTATTTTCTCTTTTTCTCCTAGAGATAAGATTTCAATTTCCACAGCTGACTGGAGTGCTTACACTTGCTTTCTTTATTCATAATTGTATTATCACACTCTTGAAGAACAATAAGAACCAAGCAAATAATGTGAGTAATTATCTGAGGAATTGACCTTTTCATCTTCTGAAGAAAAATTTTTTATATCAGTATTTGAGGTACTTTATTTTAGGAGTACAATTATGTAATTTTGTTTCATAATCTTAATTTTTACATTTAAACTATACAGCAGTATCAGCAGACTTTTCTGTAAGATTTAGATGATAAATGTTTTATTCTCTGTGAGCCATTTGGTTCTTTGTTACTACTATCCAGTTTGACTATGAAAACAGCCATAGACAACAAAATTAAAAATCAGTGGTGATTATTTCAATAAAAGTTTATTAAAACAGACCGTGGGCCAAATTTCACCCATGGGCCATAGTATGTGAATAACTGCCATAGAGGAATCACTGAAAAAAATAAAGAAGGGGAAGCTATAAACCAATACTGATACTAAAGTCATTAACAACAAAAACCTTAACTAATCCAAAAGAAGGCAGGAGAAAGGGAACAAGGAATAAATGGAACAAATGGAAAACAAATAACAAGATAGATTTAAACTAATCACACTGATAAGTACATTAAATATAAATGGTCTAAACACTGCAGTTAAAAGATAGAGATTGGAGGACCAGCAGTTGGCATAATGGCTATGTTGCTGGACTTCCATGTAGTCGATTGCCGTTTGCGTCCTGGACCTGGTGGCTTAAACTCATGCCAGGCACGTGTGTGTGCATACCCAAGATCCCGAGGAGAATGAAGGAGAAGGGATTGTGGCATGGCCATCCCCCCTGGGGATGATTTCTCGCTTTCTGTCTCTCTGTCTTTCTGGCAAGTACCCATGCACTATAGTAAAAAAAAAAAACCCAGTGACTAGAGTAAAAACCCCAAAAAAAAAAAAAAAAAAAGATAGAGATTGGTGGTCAGCAGGTAGCATGGTATTTAAGGCACTGGACTCCCACATGACCAACTGCAGTTTGAGTCCCAGACCTGGGGGTTTTGCTTTCTCACTTTCCTTCTCTCTCTCTCTCTGTTTCTCTCTGGTGAGCACACAAGCCCTATGACACATGAAAATAATAATAATAATAATAATAATAATAATAAATAAATAAATAAAATTAAATAAATGATTCCTTAAAAGAGGAGAGGTTGTCAGACTGGTAAAAACAAAAACTAAGTATATGTTGTCTATAAGAAACTTACTTTTAAGTATAAAACATGCAATGCAAACACTAAACATAAGAAAAGTGGAGCTGCTATATTCATATCAGATAAAATAGACTTTAGAAAAAGGAGTATTGCCAGAGATAAAGAAGAACATATACATAATGATATTTAGGGATCAGTTCATCAAGAAGACGTACTAATTCTAAATATATATGTACCCAATACAAAAGCTTCAAAATTATTGAAGTTACTATTGCCAAACTGAAAGAAATAGGTAAATCCAAAATTATCATTGGATATTTTATCACCCTTTACTCAGTGACTGATAGAACAAATAGACAAAAATAATAAAGGATCTAGAAAGCATGAAAACACTATCCACCTACTTGATCTGACATTTATAAAACGTCTTCTCTCAATGGCAAAATACATGTTCTTTTCAGATATTCAGAAACATTTATCAAGTTAGACCATATGCTGGATCATAAAATAAATGGTACGTGGAACAAATAATAAGCCATGTTTGATAAACAGAATATATCCCCAGACCTACTTCTGACTTCAATATAAATCCATTCCTCATTCTGAGTTGGCATTCAATCTGTCTTTAATTTCCTGCCCTCAGCTTTGCCTGTTGTTGCTTATTAATGAGGTAAAATAGGAGATCTTATTAATATATATACTTCTTGACATATTACCAGTTCATATTGTCAATTTTCACTTTAAATATTTTTTAACTTCAAGCTTCATTTTCTAAATAATAGCTTTGTTCTACCTTTGTCCATTGAATGGGTTCTCAGGAGGCCTTATCTTTAAATCTAGTAATGGCTTGAGTTTGAGGCAGAGAATACCAAATCCCACATGTATGCATGCTATTCATAGGTGACATGTTTTCCAAGATCATGCTAAACTTCAGCTGCTTTTATAGTAGAAAGCATCATTTCCCTTCATAACAGTATTTTCTTTTAAAAAAGTGAATTATTTTATTTTATTTATTATTATTACCTTTCAATTTGACCAGAGAGAGGGAAAGTCAGAAAGCAAGCCACCAGGTTCATGACTTGAATTGCAGTTGGTCATGTAGGAGGTCAGTGCCCCAACACCATGCCATCTGCTGGTCCCCATTACAATATTTTCACATGAAATATTTTCATTTCTTGGCCCACTTGTACTCAATGGGCTAGTACTATGAAATAAAGCTTTTCTGGTTTTAGTATTTCTGTTCTATTTCTTTTTTTTTTTTTTTTTTTGAGAGTTTTGTTTTGTTTTAGATATAATTTTGCTATAGGGTTCATGCACTTGCTGGAGAAACAGAAAGTGAGAAATCACTCCTCCCTGGGGGAATGGCCTGCTGCAATCCCTTCTCCATTCTCTTCTCAGTATTTTAGGCGCACATGCACCCAGCGTGAGTTTTAAACCGCTAGGTCTGGAACTTGAACCATGGTTGACTATGTGGGAGTCTAGCAATGTAACCATTACACCATCTGCTTGTCCCTAGAGAGATTTTTTTTCCTAAAGTGCACATGTACTTGCCAGAGAAACAGAGGGAAAGCAAGAAATCACCCCCCAGCAGGGATGGCCATGCTGCAATCCCTTCTCTTCCATTCTTTTGGGATTTTTGAGCATGCACACACAAGTGCCCAACAGGAGTTTCAAGCCACCAGGTCTAGGACTCAAACTGCACTTAGTCATGTGAGTCCAGCGCCTTAACCATTATGCCACCTGCTGGCCCTTCTCTTGCATTTTTATATGTGCTCTACTGTGTGCTGTGTAACTCATAACTTGTTACCTTTCTTACATTTTTTTCATTGTTGTTGTTCAGTGGCTATGACACTAATATTTTGGAGACTGGTTAGATCTCCATTGTAGTAGCTAAAGGCATCCAATTTGGCACCAGAAAGACCTTGATTTTGAATATTGACTTCTTCAGCTAGTCATTTTGTAACCTTACCACATTTAGTTTATTCTGTTATAAAATGAGGAAACTGTATCTGCATAAGTAAGGTTTTTATGAGGATTAAATGATATACGTAATGTGCTTAGCACAGAATCTGACCCCTAGAAGCTTTCAGTAAATGAAGCCAATGTGTTTACAATTTTTTATCTACATCAACTGAATTCCTGCAGTGCACCCAAGTATTATCCAGGGTGTTACATTCTGATGTGTTACTAATAACAGATAATACTTGAAACTGAGTAGGGCCCAGCAGGTGGCATGGTAGTTAGGGCCACTAGACCCCCACGTCGCCAACCAAGTCTCAAGTCTTCCCCCCTCCCTGGGGGGCCCTGGGAGTGGCTGCTACAGCTCTAGCAAAAGCTGAGCCCAGCCGAGTGCCAGTGCCGCTGCATACACCGCTGCATACGCCGCCGCCCCCCCACCCCTGCCCCCGCAGCCTCAACTCCCTGCAAGCAGTGAAACACAAGATCCAGGCCCTGCATTAGCAGGCGGAGAAGACGGAGGACCACGCACAGAGCCTGCAGCAAGAGCTGGACCGTGAGCGCCAGTGGCACCAGAAAGCAGAAGGTGATGTGGCAGCTCTCAATCGACGCATCCACCTGGTTGAGGAGTTGGACAGGACTCAAAGAAGGCTGGCAACAGCCCTGCAGAAGCTGGAGGAGGCAGAAAATGCGGTGGATAAGAGCGAGAGAGGAACAAAGGTGATTGAAAAGTGGGCCATGAAATATGAGGAGAATATGGAGATTCAGGAGATGCAGGTCAAAGAGGCCAAGCACATTTCTCAGGAGGCTGGCCGCAGACACGAGGAGGAAGCTCGTTAAGTTGGTCATCCTGGAAGGCGAGCTGGAAGGGACAGAGGAGCGTGTGGAGGTGTCCGAACTAAAGTGTGGTGACCTGGAAGAAGAACTCAAGAATGCCACTAATAATCTGAAATCGCTTGAGGCTGCATCTGAAAAGTATTCTGAAAAGGAGGACAAATATGAAGAAGTTAAACTTCTTTCTGACAAACTGAAAGAGGCTGAGACCCATGCGAAATTTGCAGAGAGAACAGTTGCCAAACTGGAAGAGACAACTGATGACCTGGAAGAAAAACTTGCCCAGGCCAAGGAAGAGAACAGCGGGCTTACATCAGACACTGGATCAGACACTAAATGAACTTAACTGTATATAACCAAAACAGAAGAGTCATGCCCCAACATAAACTTCAGAGCTCTGTGTCTTTCTCTTCCCTCATTAGAAGTTTCTTTTGCTATTGCATCTTCACTTTGCTGGAAATGTCAAGCAAATTATTGAATAAATGACCAAATATTTTGTATCTGAAAAGTTTTGAGCACCAGTTAAATCTAAATCCTTCCTTCTTTCAAATGGCACCAACTTTTTCAGCTCTGTTATTATCCTTAAATTGCACTTATTCCTGAGGTGGCAGGTATTTCATAGTGAACATACTTTTAAGCCTGAGGGCACCTGGTTCCTAGGAGAACAGACAACCCCACACTTTCAAGAATAGACTGTTATCTAGTTGTAGATCAATTTAAAATGCTGAAGAATATAACCTTCTGGGTCATAGTTGGCCAAACATCAGAAGGCTATGGACCATGACATTAAATGATTGGGAATCCAGAGTGAAAAAAAGAATGGGTGCGCGATTGTGGGAAGTCATAAACCCAAGATAAACCTAATCATCCTGGCCCTTCTCCACATTCAACTATGCAGAGCAAATATCCTCTAATCAGTCGGCATGAGAATGCTTAGGAAATAGCCATAATAATTACCCATACAGTTTCTGGGTAGATCCTGTTAGGCTTTTCCACATGTTTCTTTCATTTAAAAGTTATTCTCTGAAGAGCATGTGTTGTATTCCTTTAAGGACCCATGTTTGTCTGCTCTAAGGCCATCCACTCAGCAGGACAATGGTGGCGTTCAGTCCTCATCAACTCAAATCAAAATGGCTGCTAGCCATCAGTAAATTGAGCAAAGAGAATCTTGTTTATTAACAAAATTCTGCAGAAGGGTCTTCTCTGGAATTAAGGTAGAGATTAAGAAAAAGTAATTGATTTCATCTCCATTCTTCAGGGAATGACAAATTGAAGATTTACTTACCTGGGACTTGAATTCCTTCTTTGGGACCAAGTTAAAAGACCAAGAAACTCCTGGTTAATGGATATGGAATATTGTGTAGACAGGGCTGCACATTGTGGCTTTGTTGTATTTCTCTTTCTCAGTTGACATCTCAGAGCTGAAGCATTCCACATCCCCAACAGTGTGGGGGCCAACTCAAGTTTACGATTCTGAATAAAAATCCCCCGGCTTCCAGCTTATCTGAATCTCCTGCGCCTCACTCCTATTTATTAAGCATCACACTACCCAGGAGATACACTGGCAGACTGTGCAATGGAATAAAACCCACACTTTATATTCTTGCAACTATATCATAGGTAATAGTATTACTTTTTCTACATTTTGGTCAAATAAATTTTTACATAAACATTAAAAAAATCCCTTATCTCCCAAACATGAATTGCTTTTATAATAAAAATTAGTGAGAGTTGCTGTACAGTGTATAAAAATTGTGGTATTTGGACTGTTATACAATTTCATAACAGGCACACAGAAGGGAAAAAACTTAAGGTGCAAGGAAAGCTCTTGCACTGGAGTTTTCCATCTTTATCCAGTTCTCCCAGAGTTTGCTAAGGTACATTTTTTTGCAAGAAGTCAGACCAAAATAACATGATAATCAGATGGTATAGAAGGTAAAAGCTTCCATGGCATGGTGGCTTCCCCTCTTTGTATATAGTGTACGTTCTCTCTGACAGCTGTTTTGCCTCCCAAGATTTTTGTACAAGGTTGCCTTTGTTTTTGAGTAGCATTGAGTAGGTTGAGAGAGTGACTTTCAAATGTTATAATGGGAGGCTTCTATCCTTTGACACAAGAGAGGTGTTGCCTGGTTCATTTGTGTTCATCCCACACAAGATCATGAGGCTATCCTAATGGTGATTGAAATCTAAACTACCATGGGGCCTACAGCTTCATGAACTAAAGAGGAAAAAAATCTCCTTGAAGGATTGGCCATCCCTTCCTCTCTCAACCGTAAATAATTGGAAGCTCTCTGAAAGGACGGGAACCAGTCTACATAAGCCTTTCGCTCCATAGGCATATCTGTCATCTAATTTAAGGTTTGTTTTCAAGCTGATTGTCAACTTAGACCTGACTTTACAATTGCTCATGGCTTGTTTTGTTTATAGTTGAATTTATCAACATCCAAACTTATAAAACTTGGCTATTGGAGACCAGCAGGTGGCGTGGTGGCTAAGGCACTGGATATTCCCATATGGCCAACCACGGTCAAGTCCCAGACCTGGTGGCATGCTTTCTCACTTACTCTCTCTCTCTTTCTCCCTCTCTCTCTCTGTGTCTCTCTCTGGTCAAATTAAAATAAATGAATAAATAAATAAGATTAAGTAAATAATTCTTTATAAAAAAAAAAGCTTTGGCTATTGCCTTAGCCTATTTAAGAAGGAAAGTTATCCAAAAATATCAGAAATGTTCACTAATACCAAATGTCCAATTTTTTAATTGTATTATCAAACTAAAAAAAACTGTATATAAATTTTTTTCTAAACTGTTTTCTTAACTTTCAAAGTAATTTGTGCTTAAAATGAAAAATGAGTCGGCTTATTGCCATAATTTAGTTGTGCCGAATTGTCTAGCTGCCCCTTGAGTGGTGATGGAGACCAGATTTGTAAGCTCTGCAATCCATTCTGTTTGGATCTGACAGCTGGCTGCAGTAAATATCTTGTAGCCTTTTTACTCTGTGTAGAGATGGGAGGGTGGGAACGATAGTGGAAGAAAGCAGTCCACTTTATTTCATGTTGTAATTGTTTACTGATTCCAGTAAGAACATTGTGCAGCTGTTTGAACAGCTGCCCTTTGATTTCATTTTGTTTAATATTTAAATTTGTTAAGCTTGTCTTAATACCTGCTTATTGTCTGCTCTTTAACTGGTTCTCCTTCCTTAAAACCTATGTTCTACTCTTCTTGTCTTGGCATGATTTGATGATACACATTAATTTACTAAAGGAGGCTTTTTAAAATCTTGCAGGTCATACTGAAGGTGGTTTATGCTTACTTTTTTTATGTCTCCTAGTTTATTATTGTAGTTAAATGTTTTATAATTCAATAAAGAAATTACTTTTTGAAATTAAACCAGAGTTTCAGTCACATTCAATTACCATTTATGCCAACTTATTATATCTGCAAACAGGTAACTTGGTCTTTTTTTTTTTTTAGAGAGATTTTTTGCCACAGGGCACGTGCACTCCAGAGAAACAGAAAGCAAGAAATCCCAGGGGGGATGACCACGCCACAATCCTTTCTCTATTCTCCTCTCAGGATTTTGGGTACACACGCACACACACCCAGCATAAGTTTTAAGCCACCAGGTCCAGGCCTCAAACAGCAGTTAGCCATATCGGAGTCCAGTTACATAGCTATTTCACCATCTGCTGGCCCCGGCAGCTTAGTCTTTCTTACTCCAGACTAGGAGGGAAAAATGGCAAACTAGCTTAAAGTACGTGGATTTTCTTTCAACTACTTTCTATGAACAAAATGGATACCTAAAAAATATACACACAAATATGCAAGGTAAGAAGATAAATTTTACATTTATGTGTTAGTCTTCTTATTTAAACTATCCAGGTAGACTTGCTGCAAATTTCTTCAATATTACGGGAACTTTATTCTGTATTTACAGGTGAGGGACCTATGCATTGCATATATGCTGGTAACATTAACTTACCTCTATATTGGAGTCCTGGTTTTTGCTTCATTTCCTTCACCACCATTATCCAAAGATTGTATTGAGCAGGTAAGGCACTGTGTACCTTTACTGTTTGATTATTTACACCTTCACCTATACATAACAGGCCGGGTGATTCAGTAACCAGATATGACCTCAGACAGGCCTGAATACAATGTCTACTGTCCATTCCAAGTATGGGAATTTAGGCACTTTTACCATCCTTTCTGAGGTTCAGTTTCCTTTTAAATTTTAAGTAGTAAAATACATACTCCATTAGATTTTTAGATGGACTCTAATAACGTGCAACAAGACTGGCACTGTGTGGTACTCAAATAAATGACTATTATAGTACATATATTTCTCTTTGGAGAATTTCTATGAGGAGTTGTCATTAATTTATAAAATCTCCACAGAGAATACATTGCACTCACTTATTTTCCAAAGACCAGATCTGGAAATGTCTTGGATAAATGGACTCTTACGTTGATTTCATAGAGTGGCAGGCTGCAAACAAGGAAAGACTGTTTGATTGTTAAAAAGAGAGAGAGAGACAGAGAAACAAAGAATAAAAGAAAAATTCTTTTACTAAAAGAATTTAGTTACCATAATAGTATTTTCTTTGATTTAACCTTTCAAAGCCTTAATAATAATATATTCTTTTGTTTAATGTGAACAAAAACTACTTCTGAAAAATAGCATTTCAGGGGAATAGAATTTCTACTAGAAATTTCTCTGCTAGAGTGTAATGGAATATACAATGTGATTTATTACTGCTGAATAATAAAGGTTATTTCAGCAGAATAGAATTAAGAGTGTCCTTTTCTTTATATGAGAAATAGGTTTGAGTTACTGCTGATAAAGTAGCTTGAAATGTTTCTATTGCCTTGATTTCCTTGATTCCAGAAGTTCTCTAGTAGACAAATGTTTTCTGAAAATTGTCCTAATAGGAACAATCCCATATAAAGCCACTCTCTGGGGAATAGAAATGTTTGTCGTTATTTGTATTTTAAAGGAAAAAATTAAAATTCTGAGTGATTAACTTTTTTCTAGATACCAAACTAAGATGGGAAAAGAGGTCATGAAAAGAAGGAGAAATAAGTCCTTTTCTATTTAGTGTTAGACTGTAAACAGTGACAGTGACGATACTAGGTGATAGATGTACTCTTACTTTGTTTTGTAATCTTTACTTTGAAAGTGCTACAATACTTCAAAGGAGGAAAAGCAAGAGAGCTAGTGAAGATAAAAATAGCATTAAATTAAATTAGCCATTTATATATATTAAAACAGATTGAGTATTGTGTTTGAATCTTGCCAATTAGTCCTTCTCAACCTATCTGTGGTAAAGGACAAAGTTTCTTTTATTGTTTTAATGTCAAATCCATTGCAAACTTAATACTTTTGTAAAATAGAATAAAAACATTGCAATATCAAATTTTGGTAGCAATTTCTAAATACTTTCAATTTCGGTACTTACCTCATTGAAAAATAGCAAGCAGTTTATGGATAGGCAGCTGTCCACAAACCACAATTCGAGTAGCACCTATATTCCAAATAAGCAGAAGACATTCCATTTTATGACTGTGTATGTACTGAATTTGTTTTTTAACATTACCTCATTATCTCTCTTGGATTAGAATTTTTTAGACAACTTCCCTAGCAGTGACACCCTGTCCTTCATTGCAAGGATATTCCTGCT